TGGGAGATTTCAGGAAGCATAAATGTTCCCAGGTTCATTTATGTTAATGGAAAAAGGGAGAAAATAAGCAGGTTAGAATGATACAGCCTAAAACTGTGCTATTGAGCATGGTGGCTAGGTAAATGTAAGTGGTTTAAAATCAAATAGAATTTGCACTGGCCCCAGGAGTCTAGAGGCTACAGAACTGTCAGCACCTAAATTCTGTTTGTGGCCCAGGTCTACATGCTGACTTTTCTTTCTATTATCATTCAGGTTTTGCTCGTGCCCTACTCACTTGATCCCCTGTCTTTTTCCCTTATTCCCTCTATTCTCAGTCACTTCTCCTCCACTGACACAACAAAGCCCTGCTTTCTATGTGGCCTTCTTGGCATCCCTTGTGGTTTCTGGGCACTGAAAACCCTCAAGGAATCCTGTGGGGGTTGGAACTAGAGCTTTGCACTGCAGGACTCATTGGACAACTCTCTGGCCAAGGCCCAAGAAGCCGCATGCTCTAATTAAAGAATTGAATGGGACTGAGGCCTTTAATCTAATTTCATGATAAATTTGCTCTTTAGAAATATTTGAATGTATCTATCTAGAACTTGTGCTTTTTGGTTATACATATATTCTTGCTGGAGAGAGAACAGCCCTGAGTTCTCATCGTCGTTGAACCCCCACCCACCTGTGGTTTTAATAAGATGCTATAATTCCGAAGCTTAGTTGCCACTTGGAAATCTGCTCCCAGACGTAGTTTGAGGTAATGCTGAATGATAAGAAATGTTGAGGTCTGGTCAAAAGGTATATTTAGAGGGTTATTAAGGGGTTTGCATGTCATTTCATCTTTGTGTCTAGTGTTAGATTTCTGATGCCGCATTTGTGGTTTACCATTGTCAGCTACAAACTGACCTCAGTCAGCTAATGGTCCATGCACTGCACTGTGTCTGCTTCATCTGTGGTGTTTGAAGAGGAGTCTGGGTCTCTCGCCCCAGGAATCCTCTTCTGAGTCTGACCCACATAGCAAGGATGGGAAGCTCTGGGGAAGGAGAATGTGGCCCGAGGGTCAGGAGAAGTGAGTTGTCCTATGGATTTAAGTATCAGACTTTTTTGTTCTCATACTTCCCACCTTCCCAGCCTGGAGGTCTGCTAGGAATTCCTGTCTAAGGTTTCAGCTATGTAATGCTGTTTAATGAACTTTAGTGAAACTTTGACAAAGTTGAATAAAGGTAGAGATGAATCTTCAAATAAAAATTTTATTTGGTAGTAATATAAGAATTAGGATGCAGCTAAGGACACATGAAGAAACCAGGTTGCCTCTGGTCTGACCCAAGAACAAAGGAAAAGATGGGGGTTTTATTATGACAGAGAAATTTGTGCAAATTGTTTTGAAAGAAAGCTCATTGGCATTTAAAGTGCTTGAAGGAGTGGGCAGGGTGTGAGTGATGAACTTCAATAGTTTTAGCTAAGTTAGTCTGAAGTTATAGTTGATAGTGTCATGAAAAAATATATTTAAGAAATATAAGGCAACCCATTGGATTAGATAGGCCTACCATAGTGAGCTGAGTGGTTTTTCCAGTGGCCTCTTCATTTTGACAAGAGTGAGTATGATAAGAATATTTTCATTTGTATGCTCACTTTCTACAACTTGGTAGATTAAGATAGTAACATTTTATTTAGCTTTTAGATCTGCAATTGGAGGACAGGACTCTTTAAGAAGAGGCAGTTTATCCTCTATTCAGTGTCACCTGGGGGGGATGAGAAGGCTGGGGGCCTAGAATGATGAAAGATTTGCCTCTTTGCCTATCCAGGGGATAATACTGACTCCCAGTGGGGGACATCTTGATTCTCTTCTGAATGGGCCTCTCTGTGTGTTCCTTCTATATTGGCTAGCTTGGGCTTCCTCACACCATGGTGGCTAAGTTGAAGACAAGCATCCTGAGATGAGAGAGCACTCAGTAAGTGTTGTATGGCCATTTTTAACACAGGCTTGGTTATCATATGGTATCAGCTTTTCTGTAATCACAAAGTTACCCATATTTAAGGGAAGAGAACATAAAGCCATTCTATCTGCATAGATATGTTGATGTCACTTTGTTAGAAGAGCTTGTGGGATGAGATATAATCGGTGTGGTCAAATTTAAAAAGTACATTTTCCATGCCCAGTAAAGATGAATCAGAAGTAACATCTGCCCACTCTACCCATTAAAAAGCTGTGAGACTTGGACACTGGGAGTATTTCATTTCCTGTCACTTACTGCTCTGTCCTGGGCTGCCCTGCTATTAGTATGAGGGTGCTGCCTTTGTGTGGCACTTGGAGTCCTTTAATAAAAGGTGCTATCTGTGTACAAAATGGTGCAAAACAATGTCTTAATTTACTAAACTCCTTAGCTCAGCTGATGACTGTAGAGAATGTACAACATATGGAAATGCAAAGTGAACTTCAGGGTCCTGGTTGCCAAATTTTATTTCTAAAATTAATTTGCTAGATCCTAACTAGAATTTTAATACTTGGTTGACTCCCAAAATTTTGACTGAGATTTTATTTGTAATAGATTTTCTTATTTGTAATTTCTATTACTTATTACTCTTTTTTAACATCAACATTAGATGTAAACCTCTTAGAAATTAGGATCCATCTTTATAAATTTTTTTAATTTGATAAATGAGTAGTTTAGAGTATTTTCCTACTCCTGAGACAATTTATAATAAAAATCTTTCTCTAGCAAGTTGTTGGGAGAGCAGAGCAAGACACAGGTCATCACTTTGATAAATAACCTTGCACTTACCAAGTCATGTGCTAATTATAGGAAAATTTTTAAAAGACAAGAAAGAATAGTTTAGTATTCAAGTTACGTTTAACTTATTTACTCTAGAAGATAAAATAGTCATTGCAGTATTAGCATTAGTAACAGGCACTTTTAAATCTTTCATGTCCTTTTAACTCCAGTGTACCAAAATCCACCTCAGTTTTTAAAAACTTACTGTCTTTGCCCTTCCTTACAGTTTTTTCCAGCTTGTACATTTAAATGGTTTTATGTTTACTTCCTGGAGCTATCCTTCTAGGAGTAAAGCTTCCTGTCTCTCTTTCTCTCTCCACTTACATTTACTAAATTAGTGATTCTTTATAAGACATTACTGTTGTTGCCCTTATAGTTCTAATTATTTACCCCCCTTCCCCCAACAGATCCCCTGACCTTAGTTTTACAGAGCTTATATTCTAGGTTCAGGGTGACTGTTATGTAGGTGACAACAAACTTGAAGTGTGTAAATCTGATATGTCAACTACCAGGGTATTTAGTTTCTTGTTATTTGAGAGTGTTTAATTAACATGCTTTTGGAGCATTGTTCGTTGTTAGCTGAATTTTTACACTCCTGAAGAGATGCTAGATAGACTTTTCTAGGAGATGGAGAAGTTTTAAAGAATTCACTTTCACATTTCCTACTGAATCAATTAATAGTCTTTTTAGATAAGTAATGAAATTCTGGGTGTGTGGTTGCCAATTGTTAAAACTCTACCCTGCTTCTGCTTCCGCAAGCAGTTGTGAGTTAAGGGAGAGTAACACCACCCACTGATAAAATTCAAACCACCAGATGTTATTTTAAGTTCTTGGGTGGTGCTATCTCTTCTTACCCTTTAAACTGCTAAGTCACATCCTGCTTTGCATTTTAATTTGGTGTAAATTAGATGCAGCAGGTCTGACATTAGATACCCAAGTGAAATTAAACACTAAAATGAAAGAAGGCTGTTCTGTAGGGTAAATCTGACCTTTCTGGATGCAGGATCATGTGTGGACCATTGCTTGACCTTGCTGTTCCTCTGGTTCACCCAGGAGCTGCCATAGCCCTGGATTCCCAGGTGGCCCGAGGATTTGGGGTGAAGTGGGGTTGGGCTTTGGGATTTCAAAGAAGCTCCGCAGGATTAACAAGTACCCTTTCTACCTGGCTTCCAAACTCTGCCCCGCACATTCCTCTTTCTGCCTAGCAGGTCACACCCCATCTTTAGGCTCTTGAAGGCTGCCTCTTCACCCTTGTGATCACAACTGCAGCCCCTCCCTTGTGACTGCCCACCACTCCTAGGAAAAGGCACACCCCGGCTGAAATCTAACTTGTTTCACTTACGCACATTTTATCTTCTTGGTCAGAGTAGTTTCCTCCTTCAAATAAACCTCTGCCGCTTAGTTTCCCCCACTGAGGAGTAAGCACAGCAGGGATGTAGGAGGTATTGTAGAGAGCCAAATTGGATTAATTTTTTTTCAGTGTAGCTGCTCTCCTTCAGTGTTGTCTTTCATGATGGCTTCCTGAATCAAGCTCCATTGTCTGTGTGTTTCATCTAACACGTGGAGAAACAGGTAAAAGTCGCTGTGCTGCAGGAGAAAGAGAACATCCTGTTTCTGATTTTTCTATTCAGGAGTGGAGGAAATACCGTTACACTCATGAACTCATCCCCTCCAGTGAGAACATTCAATCATCCTGATCTGTCCCAACCACATGGGTGATACATGTGGTTTGAAAGGGGCTGTCCTGCTGGCTTTGGAGAAAGAAGATTTGAAGAGTGGATATTCATTTTTAGTCCTATTTGAAGGGGTTGGAGATATAGCTCAGTGGCATAAACACCTGCCTAGCAAGTGCAAAGTCCTGAGTTCAATTCCCAGTACCAAAAGTAAAATAAAATAAGAGAGAAACATTATTACTGAGAGGGATTTGTGCTTCTGGCCCAGGAACCTACTCAGGAAAGGAATGGTTGACAACTTTATGTTGAGGGGCATAGAGATGACCCATGAGACTTAATTTTAAGGCATGCTACCTTCTTGGGGCCTACATTATTTGTAATGAAACTTTGAGATTAACTGGCTTTAAAAAAATTAAATTTCTTTCATGTAGCTGTCCAGATATGGTTATTTCTCTGTGCTGGCATGGTAATAATCTGTCTTCAACTAGTAGTTTTCATTTCTGGGTCCATTGCCGCCTTCTCCCAGCCCAAGGAATGAGAAAAGGATAGGAAACACATGTTTTTCTCTTTTCAGGATTATGACCTGGAAGAAGCTTAACTTCTACTCATCTCCCATTGGCAGCACTTGGTAAGAAAATGCCGGCCAAACTGCAGAGAAGGTGGAAATGTACCTCTTACTAGACAGCCATGAGACCATCTGAAGCTTAAGAGTTTATTGTTAGAGAAGGGAGAATGGATCTTGATGACAAAAAGCCAAGACATGAATGAAAACTTATCAAAATGTCAGATCTACTAAGTAGATCTACTCCATTCACTGATATAGATAAAATATACTAAATGTCAAAAGAAACTTGCATGAATTCATGGTAGAAACTGAAGGATTTGTGGAGGACAGTAGAGTATGAGCTGGGAGAGGACGTTTAGCACAGATAGGCTGACAAGCAGTGTTAGATTTGCAGGACAGACTGTTGTCCCCTTTTGAGGATAAGTGTGTTTTGCAAGAGATTTGCTAATCTGATCAAGAGAGTTGCACCAAAATTTGGTGAGAAGGAAAAAAAATCACAACTTGATCCGATGGAGAACACTAGGCATAGCAAAGACAAGACTAGTAAGAGAGGAGGAAAACTTTAATAAGTGATAACAACAGTACCTGGCAGGAGGATCACAAGTTTAAGCCCCAACGTTAGCAATTTAACAAGGCCCTATCTCAAAAATAAATAAATAAATAAAATGGGCTGGGAATATAGCTCAGTGCAAAGGACCCAGATTTAATCATGAGTGCTAAGAAACAAAGAAATGAGTGAACACCTGAGAAGCAGGTTGTTTACAATATCTGTAGCTGTGTGCCACTGCACAACCTCTGGGGACTAAGCAAAGTAAATTTGAAACATTAAAACTTGGATGTTCATAGGATCATTGGATTTGTCTCACAAAGTTAGAATGGTTGGTTGTCATGACCAGAATGTAACTCTGGAAGACAGTGTTTTGCTTTAAAGCAGTCTAAAGTTTTCGGGAATCATCTGTAATCCTAAAGTGATTCCAGTGAACTGGGAAGGAGGAAGGCTTCTATGGAAATAAATGTGCTCACCTGGAGAACTTTGTCCTGGATTAACAATTCTTACAACCAATATTTGTAAGTTACCTTTCTACAGAATGAAATGATAAGTAAAATGCAGTCCCTAAGTGAACTGTAGACTCAGTGTCTAGCAGTTAGGATACAAAGAGTGACTCAAAATACAGGAAACATGACTAATACTTTCAGATAGAGCCAAAGCAAAGCAGAAGTCCAAAAGAGAAACAAACCATTTGGGACGGGGGAAGGGGTGAGAAAGGTTTCCTGAAGAAGACTGAGGAAATTTCCGCAGAAGGGAGAGGTAATGTGGGTTAGGAAGGAAGGTGCTCAGAGAAAAAGGACTGTCTAGGACACAGGCAAGAACCACAGTGGTGGGAGAGCACGGGTTACAGGGTGTGCATATGTGAAGTTTGGGAGATGCAGCTTGAGTGACACCAGCTGACTGTAAGTGAGTGATGTCTGCCAAGCGCTGCACTGTATTTTACATGCGTTATTCTAGAAAACATCACAGAACCCTGTGAAGTTAGCCCTTTGGTCTATGCCTACTTTCAACTGAGTAACAATTCAAGAGTTTAGTAATATAGAGTAAATAGCAGAAGACCTGAGTCTGAAATAAGTTCAGTATAATTATAGACTGAAGGTTTTAATATTCCATGCAACTTTCATTTTTCCTGTAATCACTGAGAATTTGTAAGAGGGGAGAGAGCCCTAAAAATGAATTGGACGAGAGAATTTGAGGTGGGTGGAAGTGATGAGAGGAAATGTAGAGTAAGCTCCGAGGCTTAATGGTTGTCTAAAGTGGATAATGGTTTTGAGAATAAAAAATACATAAAACAAATCAGAGGCAATGAAATGAGTGCCCATGAGAGTACAATCTGCAGTATTTAGGGATCTAGCAGAAGGAATGTGGTTGGTTGGTTAAGAACTGTGGTATAAGAGAGTCCAAGAAGTCAACAGCAGATCTCAGCATGAAGGGATGACCACCTTGCCCTTACAGGCTTAGAGCCCCAGTGTAGGCCCCCCCAGCAGGCTGTGCACTGGAGAAGGGTAAAGAACAGAATGGTAGAGAGCTGCCTTTCTGAAGCCATAGGCATGAGTAAGATCTCCAAGAGCTAAATCTTACAGAAAGAAGTGAATGGAGGACAGAACTTTAGTAACTGCCCGTGTAACTGGGAAAGAAAAAGAAGAGCCAGTAAGCAGCACTTCAAAGTTAAAAGAATGTTTTCTTTGTTGTTGTTATTATTCATAGTGACACAATAGCAAAAGCAATCTAAGTATCTGTAGACAGATGAAGGCATAATGACTGTCCCATGTGGTCTGCACATTCAAAGGAATGTTGTTCGGTCTTTAAGCAAAAGAAAATCTTGCAATAGGCCTTAACATGGATGACCCTGGAGAACTGTGTTAAGTGAAATCATCTAGTCACAGAAGGATAAATAATACATGATTTCCCTTATAAAAATATCGAAAATAATCACACACATAGAAGCAGAGAGTATAATGGTGGTTGTCAAGGGCTGGGTGTCAGAGAGAATGGACTGTTAACGGATACAGCGTTTTGGTTTTGTAAGATGAGTAAGTGGCCGAGAACTGCTCTAACTAAATGTAAGGACTATACTATACACTGAAATATGTCAATTTCATATATGTTAACTGTTCTGATGACAATAAAATTAAAAGTATTTATATTTATATTAGTTCCTCTTAAATATATATTTTTAAAAGTATATAATATTTATTTTAAACCATATACATATTTAATACATAAATATAAATATACTGTATTTAAGGGAACCTTGAACAGTACACTGCCAGGCTCATAATCAAGGAGACACCCAAGAAAATTGAAGAAATATGCTAGAATAATGTCGGTAGAGCTAACTTCAGGAAAGAGGCTTGCAAACAATGGTTAAAAGCTAAAAAACAGATTCACAAACCTGCATCCTGGCCCAAGGCACAAATAAAAGATAAGCTCCTGGGTGAACTTTCACAAACCATCAGTAGTCAAAAGAATTATTTCATCTAACTTGTTTTCAACTGTTTTTTAAAGGAAAGCTTTTAACTGGAGAGTATCTACTAAATCAAGAGAAGAAGGTCATGAAGCCCATGATAGTGAAGGGAGCAAAGATACGGCCCCCAGCTGAGATAGGGACTCTCCTGCTAATTCATCCAAACACACTACGAGGGACCAAACTGCCACATTTCCCTGGGACCTTTAAATGCTAGATAGAAGTAACTGAGGTGGCGATGACAAACCTGAAAGTGGGTGGACGCTACAAAGATTACTAGAAAAGAAATTACTGAAAACTCTAGACCAGTTATTCCCCACCCTTGCTGTACTGCAGGTATCTACAGAGGAGCTCTTTCAGGATCCTACTGCCCATGTTCCACCCTCACGGTTAGGATTGCCATAAAGTAAGCTTTGGAGGACATTCTGACCAGCATGATGGTTCTGCTCTACGCTGAGGAGTTCTTTCCATCTACTGCAGAATTCTTGAGTACATTATTGCTAAATAGGTAAACAGTTTATGTATAGGAAAGGAAATTGGGTTAATTTAAGAATATGTAAAATTATACTAGTTTCCTTTTGTGGTCTAGGTTAGTGGATCACAAGAATACCGCAGATGCAGTATATCTTATTTGAGGTTTGGGGGAGAGCTATTGTCCAGCCTATGAACTTGTCTCAGATAGGTCCAGGAAGAAACAATTTCCCAAAACACAGAGTTGGTTGATTATTTCTTTCTTTTTATTTTAAAGAGGATAAAACCAAGCAAAATAAAACAAAATAAAACCCATGAAAATAAACCAGTGTAAGTGACATAGGGCTTCAAAACAATAGGAAATCAACAACAGTTACAATAATGCCTCTTGTTGTCTTCAAAATAGCTGCAGACATCTTCAGATATAGTAAAATTAAAACAGAACAGAATAGAACCAATAAAAACAAAACAGTGAATGCAATAAAGGACTTCAAAACAAGATAAGAGTAAATCCAGAATGGATACTATAATTTATCTTGTTATCTTTGAAATAGCTGCTCATGCCATTGGATATAATAAAATCAAACAAAACAAAACAGAATAAAGCCCAGGCCAACAGAACAATGAAAATGATACAGGACTTCAAAACAAGACAATAGGGAATTAACAATTTCTACCACCTTCAGAAGGAGATCCCCCATAGATGCTGTACAGTGTATTGTTATCCTTTGAATAGATGCTCAGAGTACCAGCTTTAGACCTGCAAAGTTAGTAAACATTAAAAACTACAAGCATTAAATTGTATTTTATCTCAATAGTTTGTCTGGATCAGCCAGTCATTTATGGTGGGGTGTCTAGAGAAGGGGGTTGGTTCTTCTTGTTACCCAACCTGCGCGCCAGAAAGGGCTGGCATCTGGCTGTCCCCTCCAGCAGCCCATGCATGGCGCTGATTTGCAGGGAGGGCTTGCTTCTTGGTGACTACCTGTTCTCTTTCCCCACAGTCTGTGAATGGCACTGACTCATAGGAAAAGACTGGCATCTCGCTCTTCCCCCAGTGGCCTGTGCATGGTGCTAATTTGCAGGGAGGGCTTACTTTGTGGTGACTTCTTGTTCGTTTTCCCTGCAGTCTGCAAATGGCACAGGCTCATGGGAAAAGGCTAAGGTCTGGCTCTACCCACAGCAGTCCATGCGTGGTGCCAGTTCACAGGGAGGACTTGCTTCTTGGTGACTTCTTGTTCTCTTTCCCTGAAGTGCACAAATGATGCTGACTCATGGGAAAAGGCTGGCATCTGGTTATTTCTTTCTTTAAAATAATTTCTTTCATCATAGGCTAAGGACACAAATCTAGAGGCCAGTGTAGGAAATGTAGTTTTTAAAGATCAGATTAGTGTACTTCTACACTAATCATTGGATGATCTACCTTGAGTAGCTATACGTATTACCTTACTTTTTAAGACCATTTAATAATGACTTCTATCCCTGGTTCTGCATGAGAATCACCTGTGGAGGTATAGGAATAACAAAGCCTGGCTCCCTTGTAGATTCCAACATAATACATAGATTCAGGATAGTGCT